TCTCCTCCTGATGCTATCAGTTGTATTGCATACATTAACAGAAGCTGCCTCAGCATGACTTGCTTCGTGTTTATGAACAGCTGCTGGAGGTACGATCAAGTGAAGTCCCACCCAGATGCCCATGTCTTGTTATTGTCAGACAGGGACAAAGTTGGCCCAAGGCTGCATTCCATCATAGCAAAATACGCTGATGATACTGTGGCACAATGGGTTCATTTGATTCAAATTTATTCTTGATACTTTGGCCTCAGATCAAATAATTCTTTAGTTATGAGCAATTAAGCATGTACTAAAAAAAAGTCTTGTGGCGCCTGAAAAAAACTGTTACGGATTTTGCAGCACACACTCAGTGTGGACTGTAATCTTCTTCATGCACAAAAATTTATGTTGCAGTACATGTGTTAGACGTGGAGATATCACAAGATTCTTTGTTGTTTTTGTAACGACAGATTAAGTCAGCTAATTCTGAACACCCGAAACAAAACAAAGCTGTCTCTGCCTTAATCTCATTTTCTAAAACTGGATTTTCTTTATAATCATCTTTTCTTTGGGTGTTTCATCCAAATATATTGAAAGAAGGAGAAGTTTAATAGAAGGCGGGGGGGGGAGCTTCAATTATTATTTTTTTCTTCATTTTTGTTCCAGGTGCTAAGCGACTAAGGCATCGTCTTCTTGATGAGAAATGGGCCCTAGGTCCAAGTAATGGCCCCCACTACAGGGAAGCATGATCAAAGGATTTCTTTTCAGTGATTCATACTGTTTCACGTGCACTTCAATTCCTAGCTTTAGGCATCAGCCAGTTCTTGAATTGCTAACTGTAAATATGCTCAGGAGCTGCCTCTACCTCAAGGTTAGAACCCTTGCTTGGCTCAGCATGCATAACGTTGGACTCTAACACCTGTCAATCCCAAAAAACATGGCCAAAGACGAGGAAGGGGGGTCGTAAACTGAGGTCTGGATCTAGTGTCTCCAGCTAGTGACGTCTCCAGCTAGTGAGACTCAGAAATCTTGGATGACTCACAAGGCCAAAACAGAAGGATGAAGAAGCCTGATCAGCATCTGACGGGTATTGGTGGAACGAAAGCACATCTTTGGCCTTTTCCAATGTTGTTACTGCTGTCGTTTTACTAGCCCTAGTAAGCTACTGGCAGGCGAAACACAGCAGAATGGCATTTCTCTGCTGAGAAATGGCATTTCTCTGCAGGTTTTGACAGTCAGCTATTCCAGCAGCTGCAGCTTCTGTTGCTACCACCAGATTTTAGGAGGCCCAGGACAAGTCCTCCCCTCTTCCTTTTCCCTCTTGTCCTGTGACTGCGAAGTGCTACGGTGCCTGAGGCAGAGGTGAGGCTGGGCATGTAGAGTTGGAAATACTTGTTTCTCTAGCCAAACATAACAAGCCAGACAGTGCCTTGGAAGCACACAGTGAATGAGGGCACCCACCACTTACATTCATTGGCTTGGTGCCTTTAAGACAGCGTTTGATTGATCATCCTACATTGTCCTTCTAAACAGCGTGTGCCTTCAGGGGACCACCCAATGCAGCGCATGCATGACTTATCCGGGAGGTCAGTTTGGGGGACTAGCACTACTGCATCATCCCTGTCCTGGGGAGCTTTTACCAGATGGGGCAGCCTGCTATAAAAATGGGATGCCACACCTCTCCTAGACATCATCTCTCGCTATTACTTACAGTACTGGCAAGAGAAGAGGAACAGGGAATTATGTGTGTTTCTTTTTCCCCAGTCAGGGCTCATGGCAGCTTGGATGTAGAGTATGGGTGAATTTTTTGGGGGTAAAAATGAACATCTTCTTTCCAATCCCTATTGTTGCAAAAAATCTTAGAGCCCCTGTGGTTATGTTAAAGTTGGAAAAGAAAGAAAACATGATCTGCTCCCAGTTCTGCTGCACCCATTTGTGCCAGTGGAAGCAAGCTGCAGCACTGGTGGCTCAAAGTCTCAAGTAAGCACTGCTAGTTCCTGGCAAAGAAGTAGCAAAGGCAGAGCCAGCACTCAGTGCTGCCCTTGCTTGGGAGCAGAAGGAAACAGGGAGCAAATGGAGGGGGAGGTGCCACAGGTGCAAGCAGCTGGGCACAGGAAGCCACACAATGAAAGGAAAAGCACCAGAGGTGGAGGAGGAAAACTGCAGCCCCAAAGACTTGTCCTGTTTGGCTGTTTTGTCTCAATTGTGTAATAAGACAGCACAGCACATTTTAAACCTGTATTACAAGTCTGCCACTATCTTGCAGTATTGTTGCAGTAGATGCTTTCATGCAGGCTATGCAGTGACACCACATGCTTATACAGTCACCAGGCAGTAGGAACTAGGGAAAAATTGCAATCAGTGTCAGCACAGACTGATACATATTTACTCAATGTTAAATCCAACCGTGGAGTGTACAATACTGCCTTGTGAGATTGGCCAATTTTGCTTCAGCATTCCTATTTTTAATACTATTTTTAAAATTTAACATTGGGGTCCTGAGGATGATGCTGATTAAGGGCTAACAAGTTGCCGTTAGCGATTTAAAGTAGTATCACTTTAAAGTTCAGATTATGTCTTGTGAAGAACTGGGCTATGAGTTCAACTAGAAGCTCAGCATACATTGGCCTGTTCAATAGTATTTGCACCTGTTGATTGATGCATCCTTCCTTGACTAACAGAAGCACCTTAAATTCACTCATCCAGAATAATCTTTGCTGAAGCCCATGAATTCTTTTTTCTAAGAATTTACAATACAGTAGCAGGTTGCTGCCCAGCTTCAAAAAGGCAGCCATTTGATTCGTAGGATTAAAACTTGAGACATAAAATGAGGCACAAACAGGACAAAACTCCTAAATGAACCTGAAGACAAAATTATAGAGTTGAAGGAATGGAATTGCAGGAAATGGACTTGCCAGCAAAAGTTCAGTGCAGGGCCCAAGGCGTTTGATAGTATCTAGCTTATCTTAATAACTTGAGGCTATTGAAACACTGCTGCAGCTCAACACTGCAGCAGATGACGAATAGCAACCCCAGAACTGTCTCCAATGTCTAGTAATATTGAACACTTCATTGGATGCTGCAAAATGGCATCCTAGGCAGCCTGGCTAATTTCAGCAAACCATTTTACTCTGCTTGGTACCGGGAGTGTACATCGTTTTCTTTACAAAATGGCCTATTGGAGAAAACCGTTGACAGGAAAGCCAGTATGATGAACTGACGTGGCAAGGGCATGTCCAGTTGCTTCCGTGCAAATCTGGTTGGTCCTGTTGAAGTCCTCCCTTCTGAATTTCCCATTGAGCTCTGACAACTCCACCAGACGTTTATGTAGCTTTGCAGTGGCCAATCCGCTTGGGCACTAAATATCATTTCATTGGAAGTTGCACAGGAAGATCCAGTTAGTTTACTTCTACATCCATGTAGCCCATAATTAGGCTCAAACACAAGTTGAGTCATTTATAAAAGGAGCCCGAGGTACTATTACAGCCAGACACACCAAGGCCCAGTGTATAATTATATAATCCACCTCCATGTGGAAACTGCCCCATTAAGCCACTTGACTCCCTTAGAACGAAGATGTTATTTATTCTGGCTTTCTAGAAGAACCATACTGTTAGTGTTCTTCACAGAAACTCACCTTGCTCTCACAGAGACTAGAAAATGCCACTCTGCTTCATTTGTTCACTGGAAGGCTAACTGAAATTGGGAGATGGAATATTGTGGAAAGAAAAAGTTGCTGAAATATGGCTTTCTCCCTCCCACCCTTCCAAGATGCCATTCTGAACATCGCGCATCTTCTGCACTGATCAGGCAAGGGACAGATGCTGCTGCTTTCAGACCTGTAAGCAGAGTTTGCAGAACTACAGGTGTACTATATGTGTACTAGACCCATGTATCAGAGGTGCCTCTTGTTCCTTTAACTGAGAAAGACAGGTATGTCAATGTGTTAAAAGGATGCCTCTTGCTAGCTTTATCTTTCCCTATATTTTCAAAAGTAATTGTTAAAAATCTTTCAGCTTCAGGGAATGGTGGGTTAAAGAAACATATGCCAAAAGTGGATGGGTTCATTGGTGGATTTAACTAGTTGATAAAATGATTTGCTTCACTGCAAGTCAAGGGCTTCTACAGTTCTACACAGTTGGAACTGAGCACAAGAGTTCTGCATTTCATTGGCACAGCTCTGCAAAATCCTCACAGGTGGGCGGAAAAAAAACTCCACACCGTGGCTTCAATACATTTTGATGAAAACATGTAGCAACTCAAAGATCAATTTTCCCAGCAGGTTGTTTGCAAAGATCATTTATTCAGCAAGACTGTATTAATTCGTCAGCCAGTGCTACAACTAACAAGCTCTAGAGAGCAGCAGGTATAAAAAATGTTAGGCATTTACACCCCATTTATTCTGGAGGCACTTGCAATTAAGCACTTGCTTGTTCTCCAGCCATTTAATACTGTGTTTATTCTGTATTGATTCATGAAAAGCCTCATGTTTAGATGTTTTATTTCTTTTTAAGCTGCACTGGGGACTCATTCAATGGTTTGGATTGTGGTCTCAGCAAATTAGCGGGGCCCTGTTAAATATTCTCAGCCTGCTTTCTTTGCTCATTTCTTGACACTCCAAGCATTATTTTCTGCAGTTGAACTTGGCTTTCCTTCTTTTCTACCCTCATTCTTGACAAATAACTGCTATACAAATCAAAACACAGTTCAATGGTTGAAAAGCAGGCAGCTTTGGAACCAAGGTGAACAGCCAGCCCAAAACCTGGATTATAACTAGATTGTTATAAAGGCAGCAGGAGTCAAGCTGAATCCTGCTTGCTGTCAGTCAAGGAGGACTGAAGAGCAAAGAAGAGATGGAATGGGACCACTCATCCCTTTCCACCTTACGTTAGTGTAGTGTAGTTACTTCTCCGGAGGGAGAAAAAAGGGCTTCCACACTGTAGGGGATGAGAAATATAAGAAAAAGGAAGAGATTATTAGCTCCTTTCACTGCAATTACTTCCCGCCCCTGATTTCTGGGTAGGACTGGATTTAACTGGTGACAAATGGCCCTTGGGATGCACCTGCCATATGCCGTCTACTCAACAGATGAAAAAGTCATTCAGTTTGTCTTTACTGCTACTGACCTGAGTGCTGCACTGACTTTGTTACCACCACAACTTGTCAAGAGTTTATAATATCATTGCCCATTCAGCAAACTATGTAAGGGGTGATGAATGACTACATTGTAATCCATGCATGTTAAGGTATAATTTTAATGAGAGAGAAATCTTACTGACATATCACTTTGTTAGCAGTGAGAATGGGCTACAAATTATTTAATAACCCAAAGGTATTCAAGAGGTGAATAGTGGGGTGGAGGGTAGGGGGAAAATCTAAAAACATTTTTTGCTTGGAGTGCAATCTGGCCTAGGGCTAGCCATGCTTATAAAGATGCCATTGCAGATTAAATCCTGCTCAGGGGCCTGTCATCTGTCACATATCATTGGATTAACAATATACATTTAGCACTATGCATCCGGAACATTGAAAACTTTTCTTCCAAGAAACTCAGAGTTTCTTATAGGTTATTTCAGTTTTATCTTCAAAGAACCTTCTGAAGGCAGGCAGGTGGTAGGACAGTCAAAAGCACCAAATATGCTTCATGGCTAACAGAAATTTGGGCCAGAGTATATCCCTTAAATATTTTAATGCAAATGTTATTATAAGATTCATAGATTCACCAAAATATAGTCTATGCAACAAATTGAAATATCAGGTTTTGCGTTCATACAGTAATAGTTTTTCAAATAGTTGGTGCATTTGTTTGTTAGTTCAATTCTTAACTCTCTGGAGAACTAACATATGTTTGCAATATGCTACCTATAACATCACGAATTTTTTATTCCATTTGGAAAATCCCCTTATGCTATTTACAAATATGGGAAGTTACTCTATTGCAAGTCAGAGACAAGTGATTTGCCTAAATATGTCACAGGAAAGGAAAAAGGAATGGATCTAACACCGAATGTACTATTTCTGTATTAGAAAGAGTGATGCATCCAGTAATAGTTTCCCATACAGTCTTCTAATGTCAATTACAATGAAAAAATTAGGTTGAATTGTTACAAGGTATTAACATAGAAACAGGAAAAGCTCTATGTTATTTCAATTATAATATTTATTTCTCATCAGGATTGTAAAGTTAGGTAGAAATGTCACAGAATTAACTTAAATTATTAGCCACTACTGTTGTTTAAATGGTACCCATTTCTTAGTGGCAATCAAACAGCTTTTGACAAGTTATGTTTTGATAATTAATAAAATATGAAGGTAAATTCTGCAATAAGGTTTGCAACTAAAGATGCTAAAAATGGCATGCCCATTTTTGTGGCAACTGACAGCTGATCTCATTGCATACCTTCCCTCTCCCATGAGAATCAACCCAGGATACAGAGAATTGCACAGGCATAATAAGACAGATTTATTGTACATTTATTTTCAGTGTACTTCTAATGTGTCAAAAAACAGAAATTCCAGCATGCAGAAATTCACAGAAAACTCTAAACATTGGCATAGAAAAAAGCAATTTAGAAATAAGCAAAACACAAGGAAGAAAAATCACATTTATCCAATACATTTTGAATTTCCATCAAGCAAGTAAGGAAGCAATGTTTCTGCATATGGGAAAATTAAGGGGGGAAAAAAAGACCCTGTATTGAAGTCAATCAGCCAAAGTTCTCATTATATATTCAAAGTGAGTTTGGTCTATGATGATCACAATGACACTCCAGAGGCAAAAAACCCCCCTCCAATAAATGCTGAAGCCCAAGCTTCAGGAAGTTATCTTGCAATCTGTTGACAAGCATGTGGGCACAAGAATCTGTTTGGCATTTTCTCAGGATGAGGTTGTTTTCCCCCCCTTTTTTAGAGTTTTCCATTTGCAAAGGCTGCCTCCTGGAACTGAGGGACAAATAGTTTGAAATAAGCCCTAGAGAATGAATAAGAAAAGTTGATGTTAGTAAAGATTAAAATAAGAACATGTTGCATATGCAGACAAGATTGTCTAGCGCGCAAAACGTAACACTTTTTCTGATTAAAAATCCATTTTCGTTATTCTATAGCTGGCACAATCAAATATAGCAGCACAATTTCTTACCCTGAAATAATGCTTAAAATACAGTCTATCTAGAACAGAAAACTGTAATTATATATTTTACAAAATAAGTAAGTCGGGGGATATGTTACTCAAATATTGAATTATAATACATTTCCTTTAACAAAATTACTTGCATCTATTATTGCTTTTTTGTTATTCACTCTGTTGCCATTTCTACTGAAATACGTATCACCAGCAGCTTAACTTCTGACTTCTGCAAAATACTATTCTGCTTAGAGTATAGGAATTAAGCATATTAGATCTAGATGGAGGCACCTCCTTCGTTTCCCGAGAGGTGTGTTTGGGATCCCTCCTTCGTTTCCCGAGAGGTGTGTTTGGGATCCCTCCTTCGTTTCCCGAGAGGTGTGTTTGGGATCCCTCCTTCGTTTCCCGAGAGGTGTGTTTGGGATCCCTCCTTCGTTTCCCGAGAGGTGTGTTTGGGATCCCTCCTTCGTTTCCCGAGAGGTGTGTTTGGGATCCCTCCTTCGTTTCCCGAGAGGTGTGTTTGGGATCCCTCCTTCGTTTCCCGAGAGGTGTGTTTGGGATCCCTCCTTCGTTTCCCGAGAGGTGTGTTTGGGATCCCTCCTTCGTTTCCCGAGAGGTGTGTTTGGGATCCCTCCTTCGTTTCCCGAGAGGTGTGTTTGGGATCCCTCCTTCGTTTCCCGAGAGGTGTGTTTGGGATCCCTCCTTCGTTTCCCGAGAGGTGTGTTTGGGATCCCTCCTTCGTTTCCCGAGAGGTGTGTTTGGGATCCCTCCTTCGTTTCCCGAGAGGTGTGTTTGGGATCCCTCCTTCGTTTCCCGAGAGGTGTGTTTGGGATCCCTCCTTCGTTTCCCGAGAGGTGTGTTTGGGATCCCTCCTTCGTTTCCCGAGAGGTGTGTTTGGGATCACCATGATTTGCAAATAAATTCTTTAAAAATCAGACAATGTGATCTGCCTCCATCTAGATCTAATATGCTTAATTCCTATACTCTAAGCAGAATAGTATTTTGCAGAAGTCAACAAGAAAAGTATCTTATTTTCCAAAGAACATCAAGAAGCTGATGTGTTAGCTATTGTTTCATATGAAATTACAGAAATTTACAGTACCTTGTTTCTTACCAGGTTACTGATGTAACTGGATTTAACAGAACATGAATGCTTAATAGACACAAACATCTAGGAGTGAATTTTAATTTATACATTTTAAGATAATTGTATAATTAGAAAATATTATGTATATTTTAGAGCTGAAGTGGCATAAGTTAAACACTAGACTTCAGCTCTGTATCTGCCCCTGTTCCTATTATGGGCAAAGTCTGTCATGTTTATCAATATGCCATATTTTAAAAATCCAGATGGACTGCACAGAGCTAATTTAATTCTGTATTCTGTATTTAGTCCAATGGCCAGCATGGTGTAGTGGTTAAGGTGCTGGACTAGGAGCAAGGAGACCCAAGTTTGGTCTAGTGGTTAAAGATTCCAGGCTAGAAACCAGGAGACTGTGAGTTCCTGTCCCGCCTTAGGCATGAAAGCCGGCTGGGTGACTTGGGCCAGTCGCTCTTTCTTAGCCCATGACATCAGGTGACAAGCCAGTCAGTAAATTCCTGTCACAACCAATGGATCAACATTCAGTTCATCTGAAAAAAGTGGACCCTGCACCTGCGGGAAAACGCTAGGAAGAAAAAAAATAAATAGTCACGGAAGCCTGTTGGATGACCTTGGGCCAATCACTCCCTCTCAGCCCTAATCAACATCCCATTCTGCAACAAGCTGGCTAGCAAAAAACAAACAAACCAAAAACCATTGTCACATCATGTATTGATAGCTTCACTATGGTGAACTATAGTTGAACAAAGTGCAAAGCAAAGCAGACCTGCAGTTCAGTGGAACAAACACTAGGAATAACTAGGAGAGCAACAATGTTCTGTATTGTGTCTAATGAGCAAATGGCATGGATGATTATGTATTTGCAAAGCTAAGTTTAAAAAAAGAAAGAAAAAATCCTGAGGAGACACTATTCTATTCTCCCCTTCTGCCATTGCATTCCCCCTCATTTCATTAGGATAGCTATTTTACATACAAATATTTCTCTCTCTACTCATGCCTTTTTGGGTACATTTCTGGAGGGAAGGTGCTTATAAATTACAATCTTGCTTGAATACTTACAATAACTAATATGATAAACATGCCAAAAATTCTAGACATTTCTTAATGCAAAATTCTATGCCAAGGATCCAGGAAGGGAGGAAGAAAAGAAGGAAGTAAGAAACCACTGAATGTCACAATCTGGAGAGAAGATTTAGCAGCATTTTAACTGCAATTCATATTGAAGGCTAATAAACTTGAGTAAACATAAACTCGTAACATTAGAATACCTCAGGCTATGTAGTCCATTAGGACAGGAAGGCCTGGCGCAATATGGTTCATGGGGTCACGAAGAGTCGGACATGACTTAACGACTAAACAACAACAAAATGTAGTCCATTGTCCAGAAATTCAAGATTTGTATTTTGAATTAAACTACATTAAAAATGCTATTGATTTTATTGCAGAAAGGAGGAATATGAGTGGATAAATAAGCCTGTTACTTTATTTACATTTGTCTAGTGTTAGACAAATGTTCCAGTTCTACAATTTCAACTGTCTTATATATATTCTTTGCCATAACACGAATCCATTCTTCTTCTTAACCTTAACAGTACATTTTGTCTGTATGTGTGTGATATTTAAAAATTCAAGGTTTTACTTGAGCTCAAGGGGGCAACCAAATGGGAAGGACACTGGTCTGAGCAGCACAATCTGAAAATATTTTTAATTGTTTTCAGATGCATGCAGATAGAAAACTCTCATGTTCATGGAACTTGTTAAAACAAGGGCACAGTCATAAGATGACTATTACTCACATTCAACTGAACCTGAATCGAAACCTCCAAAAGGATTTACTACTCATCACAACAAGCTGAAATTGAAGCTATACTCAGTTACGCTGGATTCTGGGGGAACATTCAGTTCTGAAAATGATTCCCAGTTCCTTTCTTTCTCTAGCTTTCACAAATTCTTTTTTTCCTTTTTAATGAATTTTATTAAAAGTTTTACAAAGAACATAAAAACTAACACAAACTCATAAAGGATAAAAAGAGCAAAGAAAGAAAAAAAAAGTGAGAAAAAGTGCAAAAAGAGAAAACAAAAAGAAAAAGAAAGAAGCAGCTTCCAATTTCTTCTGCAGCAAATTTAAGTATAATTACAAAACTAACTCTTACTCTAGGATTACCAAAAAAAAAAAAAGGCTCACTTTTTTCTATTATCCAGTTTTTTTCTAATCATCAAAACCACAAATCATAAGTGCATTTTTTCCCATTACATGCAAAAAGTCTATAAGGGGTTTCCAGGCAGCCATAAATGTAGATACTGTTTTTTCTCTAATCAAGGAAGTTAATTTAGCCATCTCTGCAAGTTCCATCATCTTTACCAGCCATTCCTTCATTGTGGGTAGTATCGAACCTTTCCACTTTTGAGTATATAATAGTCTTGCTGCAGTTGTCATACATAAAAACAAAGTTCCATGACTTTTTTCTAATTGCCTGTCCATTAATCCCAAAAGAAAAGTCTCTGGTTTCAGTCTAGCTCTCACAAATTCAAGAGATGGCTGGAAGAAGCTAGGAAATCTTGCTTATGTATATTTTTCTTAAGATGATATACATGAACAAAGAATTTTATCAGAGGCCATTAATTGCAGCTGATTTAAAAGGTGTATTTGGTCCAGCATTTTTTGTCACAGTGGCCAACTTAAGTCCAAAAGTGGGACAGGGATATGATAGCAGAAATGAACTGCAATTGAAATGCAGTGGCATAATATAAACATTGTGACTAAAGCTACTAAATGGCTTATCCCTTATGAATCTTACTGATCAAAATATTTTGAAAGATATGGATTATTTGGTCCTCGGGCCAGGAGTATTTATCAATGGCGTGTTTTCTTCTTTTAAAAATTTACACTGTGATATACATCAAGAATTCCCTCTCTCCCCTTTCCTTTAATTTGGTATGTATTACCTCTTCCTTGTGCTTTTAGAAATTCTGAAAATATCAGACAATGTAGTAGGTGAGGTACAATATAACATATAGCTGTAAACAGATGATGTCTCACAGATATGCTACAAACATCTATACATAAACTTATTTCTTTAATATAGGAATTAGATATTTTGTCTAGTTTCTCTTTAAATCAAATTAGACTTGATTTATTTACAATGTTTATATGGCTGCCTATCAAATATATAACTGTGGGCAGCTCATAACAAATCACAAAAAACACATTAAGAAAGCTATGAAAACCAACCAACATTAACCAAGGCATCATAACCAACTGCCAGTACAAATGCACCTTTGTTGGGCTCAACAAACACCTTGGTCCAACACTGGGGGAAGAGCCAGGTCTTCACAACCTTCTAGAAGGCCAAGAGATTTTTCCGTCAACAGAGAAGGGGCTTGATGTTATTATTCTTACTAATAATGTTGACATGAAGTTGAAGGTTGCTTTTGTTTATCTTGATATAATGATTCTTAGAAAGCTTTCCCAATAGATATATTTAAATTAATTTTGGCAAAAAGTGAAACATGTTTTAAACAGATGGTCTGGAAATTCTTTTGAGTATTTGGGGCAAGATAATTGTGAATAAGATGAATATAACTCCAAGGCAAATTTATATTTTAAAATGCCTCCTATTTCTATTCCTTCACACTATTTTAGGCAAATTCACAAGCTACTAAATGATTTTGTTTGATAAGAACATCCTTCAAAATTCTATGATATAAATTGGCTTGTTGGGAAAGTGGATTTAACTTTCTTCTT